AATGATTTGGGGGTTTCAGGTGTTTTCCACAGAGACATTTGTCCTAAGGTTAATTTGACTAACCTCCTCTTAGGTTCTTTCAAAAGCCAATGTTATGCTGTATTTATGTCAGCTTTTTACTATATGGATTATGTTACATTGTCTGTGGGATCATCTACATGTGCATTAAGGTACTTTTTCTAATGTGCAGTAATGAATGTGCATGGTTTTTAAGTGACGCTTAATGCGCAATAGCCTATTTTACTGCACATTAGGGTAATTGCATTGTTTTTTATATGACGCTTTAATGTCCAGTAAAATAGGCTACTGCACATTAAATCACATGTGTAGATGCATCCAGGATGTATCTCTACAATTTAGGGACAGAGTTTAGTCAAAGGTTATAGCCAGATATCTCGTTAAGAGCTGTTTATATGGTAAAAGAATGGAAGAATGCATATCTAACGAAAAAGGAGAGGGTGAAACCACTAAGTATCATATGCCATGTCTACATGAAATGCTGACTACACAGTAGCCCAATACTACTGCACAGTAGTGTCACAAGGCAACAACTGTGATGTGACAATACTGTGTAGTAGTATTAGGCCATTGCGCAGTAGCGTCACAAAAAAGATGTTTGTCAGCACTACTGCGTGGTAACTGCACAGTAACGACTTTGCAGTCAGTGTCTCATGTAGACATAGCCATTGTGTTGCTAGGGCAAGAATAACTGCCACTCCCAAACACAGACAGAAAGCGCTATTGTTGGGATGGGCTATAATGAGAAAAATCTGTCTGTAGTAAGAAAAAATAGCCCCACAATCTCAGACAGGTGAGTAATTAACTAGAGGAATTCCAGATGCCCTAGGAAGGAAAGATTCCAGAAAATTTCTGGAAAATTCCCAGATTTCTCAGCAAAGAGAACAATGTTGGTGGGGGTGAGGGGCTAACTTGGATGTATTTAGGGGCTATCTATTAGATAGTCATGGCCTTTGGATTGGCCAAACACCATCCCAGGCCTTGAAGTGAGTCCAGGTCTCAGCAGTCAGGGCTGACAGAATCAGCAGGCAGG